TTTTTCTTGGATGTGTATCATATTACCTTTTAACTGTAGTTGCGTGAGCCAGCAGTACATTTTAATATTTATGCTTTTCCTGTTTCAGTTGGGCTCAGAGATGACCACTATCCTGCTGAGCTTCATGTGCAACAGCTCCTGCATGGGCGGGATGAACCGCAGACCTATCCTCACCATCCTGACCCTGGAGACTCCAGAGTAAGTCAGTTTTCTCTCTCGTGTGGCCAGAAGCGCAGCACAAACCATTTCTATGGTGATGTTGTTTAACAGGTCATCTTGGTTTTTGGCCTATTTTATCTTTAGAACTGCTCAAGAAAAGTCTCATCTTACAGTTTGTTTGTGCAGCACAGAAAAGCCGTTTGACCCTTACTGCATTGCATGTGCTTCTCTAGGGGGCTGGTTTTGGGCCGGAGGTGCTTCGAGGTGCGCGTCTGCGCTTGTCCAGGCAGGGACCGTAAAACTGAGGAGGACAATAAACAGAAGAAGGAGAGCGGCACCAAAGAGACGAAAAAACGAAGTACGTTTATGCTGGTTTCAGTTTCTGTTTAGTTTTCTTCCTGACCTCACTGATTTATTTATTTATATCTCCTAACCAGAGAGCGCACCACCTCCTGACACCACATCCACAAAGAAGTCCAAATGTACCTCCAGTGCTGAGGAGGACGACAAGGAGGTTTTTCTCCTCCCTGTAAGTAAATATGCATACAAGTACACTGAAATTCTCTCTCAGCCTTTCAATTTCATGACTTTCCTCTAATTTCTGCCGCAGGTTCGTGGGCGTGAGCGTTACGAGATGTTGAAGAAGATCAATGACGGTTTGGAGCTGCTTGACAAGGACAGGTAGGAGGCACCCTGGAAACTTTTATTGGATATGACAACAGCTACTGCAGACTGACAACAACAGGGAGTCGGTCTCAGCTGGTTCCAGTTGTCAGGTGTGCCTTTGGGCTTTACTGTAGTAGAATTTATCCTGTTTTCATCAAAACCTGGAGTCTCCTAATCCTGACACTAGAGGTCGCTGTGTGTGGTTGTTAACCATCCTGTAAACTGAAGCACATACCAGCATAGCTCCACATTACGTATTGTTTATGATGATCACACTATAGCGAAACATAGCTTTTGTAATAAATTAGCCGTGTCGTCTTGATGGTCCGGGTGTCTGTTTTTCATGTTGTATGAAAACAAAGTTGACGCTCTGGTTTCACATTGTTTGATGTGAGCACTTTTAAACTACTGTAAACATGGCATTGCTACAACGTAGGGTGAATCCCAGTATTATATCAGGTGTGTAAGTATAGGGTGACAACCCGTGTCCACAGTTAATGTAGAGATCAGAAATGGCTGCATGAGGGCTCTAATTTAAAACAAACTCCTTACAGGCAGCAACTTCAGGGTTATACAGATGCAGCCCAGTGTTGAATACCCAAAGGTAGCATAGAGTAAATTAACATGGGCTATTTAATTGGCCATGCCATGGTTTTGTGTTTGTGCTACCTGTAACCTTTTGGGTATTCAAAGCGGAAGTTATGCTTTCGGTTTAGCAGCTTGGATGAGTGCACTGGGATGTACATTGGTCCTAAATATGTTGCATCATTTTATAACCCTGCTTTCTCTCTGCAGCAAAAGCAAGTCAAAGGTCTCAGTGAAGCATGAGGTTCCTGTGCCCTCCAGTGGAAAGAGGCTGCTGCAGAGAGGAGAGAGGAGTGACAGCGACTAAGATGCCCATCACCTCAATTTCGAAAACAAACGTCACGTTTTTGTCTCAGCCTTCAGGTTTCAGGTTTCAGGTTGCCATCCTGCCTCAGTTAAACGGTTCCTGAAACTGTACTGCCTGATCAGTCACTGTAGACTGACATACTCTTGTGTTCAGTTATGTTTTTCTTTTCTTTTTTTAAAAAAAAAAAAGTTTTTGAAAAAAACAACCCTATGTTGGTAATTGGGTTAGAGCCGTTCAGCATGGTTTGAGTGAGATTAAGAATGATCCTTGTCATAACGAGTCACTGCCGTTTATTTAAATAAAGTTGAAAGCTAGGCTTGGAAAACTTGAATGGAATTTGCCTCTGATGTTGCTGTATTACTGTGCTACAGTCCTGTCGCACAATGTCATTTTTTAAAAAAAAAATATATATTTTGCATGATTGTCTGGGAAATGCAACCACCTCTGCGCAACCTTGATTCATATGCAATATGTAATCGTGTTTGTGTAAAACAGAACTAACCCATGGTATTAACTGATCATTCTTTAGTGGGGCTTTTTTTTAAATTTTATTTTTTTAAATAAATGCAGATGTATCAGTTTTCACCGTCACTCTTTTTGTTTCGTCTGTTGTTGGGAACATTTACTTTTAGTTATCAGTTAGATTTGGTAGATGAGGGGCTGGCTGGATCATCCCCTGAATTAACGGTCTTTTAGTATAGATTTTATTACAGGAAAAAAAAAAGACAAGTGTCTGATGTTATAAGTTAGTGTTACTTGAGTAGTCACACAGTAAATAGATGTAATGAGAACAAATTTTTTTTCTTTTCTTCCCCTTTTGGACCTTTTTCATAAAAGGAAGTGAATGTGAGCTCTCACGTTTGCATGTAAACGTCATGTTGATGTCCCCGCTGACCAAACAGTTTTTACACTGCCAACAATGTGTTAAAAGGCATTCCTCTTATTGTTTTTGATTATTTGGGGAAATAGTTTTGTATAAGAGGGTTTCTCTATATTTTTCTGTTATTTTTCACTTTTGTATTGTACTAATTACTTGTAACTTTAAGCTTTAACGTAAAATAAATGCGATAAGGATCACTGTGGTTTTGTGTTCTGTTGGACAGCATAAACAAATATTTTTCTGTGCTTTGCAAGTCTGAATTATAAATGCAAAACTGTTGCTATCTAAAGGTTCCTACAGTTGAAAGGAGCCTTGTGACACCAGTCAAATGTGGGGTTTATAACCTGTTTTATTTGCCCGCATCACAAACCGAGAGGTCACAAGAGATGCGTCTGTAGACTGGGTGAGTGGTGAGCCATCAAATATTCACCTTTAGGCTGTTGTTTTTGATTAGCTGGAGTTTTTAGTCACTTTGTTTTTTGTTTTTTTGTTTTTTGTTTTCCTTCTTCTAATACAGTATCAGTCTGGAAGTGTACAGAGCACCAATATGGGGAAGTTGCAGGTGAAATTTTGTATTTTTCTGTGCTGGGGTGAGTATTTGTAGTTTATTTTTAAAAATCTGATCTGTATGTCCGAAAATATTTTGTGATCCAGTGTACAAGGAGACATCAAGTCCAGAATTTTAGGAATGTGATAGGTCTTTATTTTCATCATATGTGATAACTGACCAATAATTAATCTATTTGTCAGTTTATTAAACTCCTGAGATTCTGTGTCCTTATGTGGGAACATTACGTTTTGGCTTTTCTGCACCCTGTACTCAATTCTGCGTGGAAACAGATGTTTTAATTGAGCCATAATGCAGACCACTGCTGTTCAGTGCTGTGCTTTAACTTTATAACGCTTAGTTTTTGTAAAATCAAGTTAAACCTGAGGGTTGTGACTGGGAGCATGTTTGTGTGAAAGTGTTCTTATGGTCACCATTTAAAGGTATTTTAATCTGAAAATGTTCATGTTTCTTAGATCTCTGTTATTCCACTCACTACACTACATGATATTATAGTCTCTGTAAGCGTAGCGCAAATACAAGATGACGCCAGCGTTGCGAAAACTCTGGAAAAAAAAGCTAGTGATGCTTCCTGATTGGTTGAATGATAACTTGGAAAGCCTGTAAAAAAAACAAACAAGCAAACCTTTGCCTGCCGTTTCCTTCCTCAGCTCTGACGTCGATGTACAGCGATGCACAGCGAGAGTATTTCATCCAGCGCAAAAATCTCACCTGGGTTGACGCCCGAAACTACTGTCAGGTACAGGCTAAACCTGAAATTTATGCACTAACGGGCTGAAGCATGAAGCTGAGCTATACCACGTCAGTTTTATTCACTAAGGCAGATATGTGAGAGGGGATTCAATATGGAATTGAAAAAAAGGTTGGCGGTGTGGAAGTGCAAGTTTGTGGATGCGATAACTCGAGAAGCAACTGACATAGGAGTTTGAAATTGATATCCTGGGTGTATCTACTAAGAATCTCCGTTTGAATCTCAGTGACCGTGAACTCAAGGTCAGAGGTCAAGTTTTCTGAAAATCTTGTGAATGTGATAACTAAAGAACAAGGCAACATAGGGTTTTAAAACCATAGGTGTATCTGCTAAGAGACAGGTGACCACCAGTGTTTTCCAACGTCTTTTCCTGGTGGTCGTCACTGGGTTTGAGATCATCCTCGGGATCAAACAGACCCTTTTTTATATTTTCCAATTACGGCCTGAATGGATTTGGGTTCCCTTTGATGAAAGGATATCAATACCTACAAAGTAGTGGCAAAGGAAATTTTACTTTTTGTACACTTGTATCACAGGAATAATAGGAACATGACTTGCCTAACATTTGGAAACCTTGGTTATGGATTACACTAGCAGCTGTTTGTTAACTTAGAATAGCCTAAATGCTAGCAACAGGTTTCAGTATGCAAAACTGACGTACCAGGTTATATTTGAAGCAAAAAAGTTATTTTAGTTGTGCTTGTGTCGACTATGTGCTTACCTGTGTGTCTAAATGCGGCGGATATATCTTTAGCACAGGTTGTATGTCTGTATCAAACATCATCTTGCAGTTTAGAGCCATGAGCCACATCTGTTGGTACATGTGAGCAATTTTAAACACTGGTCTAAGACTTAAGACAAAATCTACTAGTATATAAATTTGTAGCGCTTTTCCTGTCATTTTTCTCAACTTTATAGATTTAGTTTAATCTAAATTGTTAAAGAAAACCATCTCATAACATGAAATGCTCTCCGGTCTTTGGCCCGTCTGTAAAAGACTGACAGTAGCTTTTTGTGTGTGGCCAGGCCTGCTTCAAAGAGCTGGTGACACTGACTCCAGACAACATTCAGGCCCTTGCCCGGGACATCACCTCTGACCACTGGATCGGTCTTCGCAAGAACTTTAACTTCAAAAACAACTCTATCGACAACTCCACCGGCAACTTAACCAGCACTGTTGCAAGCTACACAGAAAGCTACTTCACCACACACTATATCAACAACAGTGACTCCAGCAGCCCCATTATGAACTGGACTCAGTGGGCCAACGGGGATCCCCTAGCCTTCCAAAACTGGTACCCTGGCTGGCCGCTGCCTAAACCTTCCCCAAAACCTCCCAACAAAACCGTGTGCTGCAGCTGCTCCTGCACATGCCCAGCAAGGCCAACAACACCCATGACTACAAACGCAGAATTCACAACGCCCAACACGACAACAACACAATCAGGACATAATGTGACAAGTTGGAGTGATGACCCGGCTGAAACAACTGAATTCACACCAGACTTCACTGACCAATCTGTTGTTACCGACGAAAGTACAACACACGCAACAAGAACGGAAAACATGACGACCCGAAGAACAACTCCATATTTCACCACAAGTGCACCCTGGACGACCGCTGAGATGCCATTAGCAGCGCAGTGTGAGAAGTCGCCTGTGCAGGAGCCAGAAGAACCTGAAGACGAAGACGACAGTAATGATGAGAATTACATTGAAGACTCGTGTGTGGCCATGCTCAGCTTCGGGCCGTGGATTGAAAAGAGCTGCCTGGAGCATCTGCCATTTATTTGTTATGAAGGTAGGTCACAAACTGTATGGGTGCACAGATGCAGATACATGCTAATTTATCACACAAATAAAATACTACAGTTAAAACTAAGGCCACGCTTAATGCTTCCATTTAGGAATTTAGAGGTTCAGTTACAGCCAGATGCTGTGAGCACTTTAGGTGTGTCTAAACTCAGTGCTGCAAGTAGTGGACGTGAGGACAGGTGAGACCTAGGTGGCGATCTCTGGCTATAATGTACATCACCACGGCCAATCATCTCCACTTTCTTCTTTTGGATTAAACCAAACACCATGTCAGTGCAAATAACTCATACCAACAATCAAGCACGGTGGTGGTGGGGTGATGATTCAGCTTGTCATGCAGTCACTGCGTCAAGCTCCTCTGAGCTCCTCTGTATATGAAAGTTTGCTACAGTCAAATATGAAAGCATTTGTTTGGCAGCTAAAGCTTAACTGAATCTGATTGAGAGCATATAAAACACTAATCACCTCACTTTGGTGATGATCTAGCCACTTCATCAGATTTAGGCGTATATGATTGACCTTTTTGAGGCAATACTTTAAATTCGCCAAGTATCCAGATCTAGATTGTGTTGAATGCAAAATTACATATAACAATCATAGTTGCCTGTTTAGTGTGGTGGGTCAAGACAGGAGTAGGCCTACTAAACCAGTCAAACACAGGTTAAGACCATAAATTCATGTATTTCTTATATTTAACCTCCTAAGACCTGAACTCCTTCATGGCATGCATTTTTAATTTCTCTTTGCTATTTGGGCTGATTGGGAGTCCTAGGAGGTTAAAGAATAGGAGTAGTTTTATTCTGTCATATTCAGATATATGATGTTTTTATTCATTATGGGCTCAGAACATTGTATCCTAATGTCCACTTTATATTTCCTGCCAAAAAAAGCCCTTGAATATTCCTTATTTGATCTAACTGTAGGTGACTTTATTACACGTAGCGTAAACAATCATTTAGAGGAGGTAAGCTTTATACACCACACATTTTATTTTAGTATCTCCCTCCTCAACTCTTCGGGGCATTTGTCCTTGCCTTCACGTTGCTGTCTAAGTAATATTCTTCATCATGTTTTCAAACAGATCGCTTCATGGGACAAGTCAGCGTCACCAATATAACTTTTGAGAGCGCCAACCTGACATGGTTGGTTGCACCGGGCGATATCAGCCATTATCGGGTAGAGGTCGAAGGTCAAAAGGATAACAAAACATGGGAGTTTAACGTCACTGATTTGACCTGTGGCCTCTCCAACCTGACAGCAGGCACCTCCTACTCGGTCCAGGTGTTCCCCGTCAAGTGTCAAAGAGACCTCAACCCAGAGAACGCCACCTTCTACACCAGTGAGTTTCAATGGACGTGAGAAATATAGATTTATTTACGCACCTGTTCACCTGCTTATAGTTCTGATAATATACCCCGAACAGCATCATGTAAACACCCAGAACAACACTCACGCTTAAGATCACGAATTTGCCGTTACTGCACTACATGGTATATTTTAAGTTTACCCAAAGTTTATGTTTTTCTTTTCTTTATGCTTTCCCCATCTGAGCCTGGTTCAGCCTGACGTTTAAAAAACATAAAAGAGAGAGACACTGATGATATCTGTGTTTTTTTTTCAGTACCTAAGGCAGTCACAAACCTGACAGTCAGTTATGTGGAGAAAAACTCTGTCTGTCTGAGCTGGGAAAAACCACAGGGAAACGTGGATTTCTATCGTCTGACTTACGAGACCACCCTTGTTAAAGTGACAACAGAGACAATAAAGGTTGAGCGTTTGATACCTGGAACCCCCTACAATTTCACTGTCGTCTCGGGAGTCAATGACGCATCTAAGTGGAGCTATGAAGCTCACGTCTCAGCGTATACCAGTGAGTTTTTGCTCATTCTTTGTCACGTATACGTCTGTGCTATGCATGTAACATTCATATCTGTTTTTCTTCTTTTAGTAGCAGGAAGTGTAATATGTGATTGAAACCAGTGAAAGGCGCCGAAAAGCTTGTTTATGCCTAAACGAGGAAGTGGTTTACAGTTTGTCCTTTCTTGCTAACACAACATGAAATTCAAATCAGCAAAGGCAAATGAGAGCCACTGCTGACGTGAAGAGAGGCGCCTGTAAAGTTTTCCTGGTGGATGTGTCTGTTTTGTGCTCATCTGTTTGTTCCTGATTTCAGAGCCTGATAAAGTTTACAACCTGACAGTGTCTGGTAACACAAAAGAGTCGATATTGGTCAAATGGGATCAACCTGTGGGAAACTTCACAGATATCCTTGTGGTAGCTAACTACACGAATAGCACGTATGTATTTGTAGAAATCCAGCCACACTGTATGCACACACATTTTTCTCTAAGCAGAGTTCATGTTTCTCAGACTGTGAGGACAAAGTTTTGCACCCCTTTGATTTCTTGATTAACTTATAGGAAGTTTGCCAAAAATAAAATAATAATATACACATATGTAGCCTGTTGTGTTGTTTGGTCATTTAGATTCCTTTGCTGTTTGAGTTGCCCAGCTTTTGTTTTTTTGAGAGATCATCTGCAAAAATGACCTAAATGTTGACTTTAAATGTCAATTTTAATTCCTGTCAATGTTCCATGTATTTCTATTACATGTTTTTGATTGATATACATTGACTTTTTATATTTTCCTCAGTAATTAATCATTGAAATAAATAAACCTTTAAAGTTTTGAAATATAACTCGCTTGGCAAACAGAGAATCGTTTTTACGGCGCCTGTCTTCGAGGGCTCAAAGCCCTCCCTCCAAAATTCACGATGAAATAAAAAAACCCGTGAAAGAGTTTCAACGGCAATTTCCAAAAATCACGATTTGGTCACTGGACCAGTCTCCTTCTGGACAATGATGCGGTGATAGGTAGCTTCTGATTTTGAGGTTAACTGTCCCATCAGGTCTTCTTATTACAGCTAAATAGATCTTCATGTTCAGCTGGATGAAATGAAGAGTGGAGTTTTGGGTATGCGCTTTAGTAACAGTTTCTCTTTGTGACAGGAGCCTGTTTAATACAACTGTAAAGTCCACTCAGCAGAACGTGACAGTAACAGGTCTGCCACCGGCCACACATATATTCATCTATGTGACCGTGCGGGTCAACGAAGACCTGGTGGGAGAAACCAAAATAATCGACAGCTTCACAAGTAACTCTTTCTCATTGTTCAGATTGATTTCATTGTTGATGCACAGAAACAAATAAACGGGAACTGTCCCACGCTACACTGATCGCCTCTAATCTGACTGCTTGTCTATTTTGTAGCTCCTGGACCGATTTCAAATTTGACTTTGACTACAACTAGTGATTCCCTCACTGCTACCTGGGAGCCTCCTGTTGGTAGCGCTTTAAATTTCACAGTTGAGCTCTGGCTCAACCAGATACTTGTAAATAAAACAAGTGTATCAGACAAAAACATCATATTCTATAATCTGAAGAATGCTGCCAATTACTCTGTGACCGTCTATGCAGTGAGTGGACAATTTACCAGCACGCCAGTGTCCGCCTACAAGTTCACCCGTGAGTCACTTTTGTCATCTTCTGTGGTCAGAGTTGTTTGGTTGCCACCACCAATGTTTACAAGCAGAAATATCTAAATTCTTATTCTAAAAAGCAAATCTGTGAATGATTGTTACGCCACTGAGAAAAAAGATTTCCACGCAGAGCTAAGTTAAAATTTTGATGTCAATGTAAAAAAAAACAACTTCAGTGGCAGAAACGATCTATTTCATACAAGTCTGATTTAGCACAAAAAACATTACTTCATTACTCTTATGTCAGGCTGACTTGACTGCAAAATAGTAATGAGAAATGGCTTTCTAATTTTCTCCATCTTCTTTGATTTTAGTGCCAAATCCTCCTATTGATCCCAAAGTCACTAGTGTCAGTAACGACAGCATCACCTTTGCCTGGGACGCACCTAAAAACACATTATCACCCACGTATGGTGTCACACTCAACTCCAGCTTCTGGGGTCACAGTTGGAGTAATACAACTGATAAAACCACGTTTACATTTTCTGGCCTGACATCAGGGACCACCTATAATTTCAGTGTGTACGCAATCGCTGACGGACGGGAAAGTGCCCCAGTACACTGTGCAGGAGTCACAGGTAAGATTCTTAGCTTGGAAGAAAAACTGTTAACAACGTGATAGGTGACACTTGGTAGGAGTTAGCTCGTCACTTGCACTTTTTTGAGCTTTCGTGGTGTTTTATTCTGTTTCCCGTGTGTTTTATTCAACTTTCATTGAAAGTTTCATTTTGTTTTGTGTGGTTGTGCAGTTTTTTTTCCTGTATGCTGGTGTTTTCACAAGTTGCAGTGTGTTTGACCCTTCAGGGCCACTGTAGAAATAATCCTTATTATGGGAAACTGAAGAGAAGAGACTTTAATGAATGATTTGCAAACTTTTCCAAAAAAACATCAAGATTAAAAAAAGCTCTGCCTAAAATCGGTCACGGAAATTGTCCGCCCCTGGATGAGCCTGGTTCTGTTAAAAAGGAGTTTTTCCTTGCCACCATCGCCGAGTGCTTGCTCAGATTTTAATGAAATAAGAGGAGTCATACTCCTTGACTTCATCATGGATTTAGATTCTCATTAGCTTGCGCAGTACAGAAAATAGTGAGAAGAAAACTGCTGACTTTCTTTCTGTACTTCACGCATGATTATGGGCTGGGTCAGGTTTGAACTTCTTTTATTATTGTTCCAACACCAGTATTCACATGAGGTGAAAACTGTCTTAAGTCCCATTTAAAAGCCAACAAGTGTAAGAAGACAACAAAAGATATTCAAAAGCAAGGAATAGGACAACGTATGTACATCGTTCATTAAGTTTAAATAAGAAAATGCCAAAAATCAGTGTCTGGTGGATAGTCCCTAAGTCTCAGTCACAGATCTGTCGCTGAGTATTAGAGACTTGTGGTTCAGAAGTTTTCTGCTTCCAAGATAAAACAGGCTATTTCTTATTTGATGTTAAATATTTAAGGAGCTGAACTCAGTTATGGCTTTTGAAAAAAGTTACTTGGCCACTTTCTCCATTAGATCTAGACAGCTGCGCTTTCCCCATGAATTGTAAGCGAGTAGCTGTCTAGCCTGGCTGGATTTTTCCACCTCAAAAAGAAGTTCTGAGCCACAGAAAGGAACCGAAAGGAAAAACATGATTGTGTTTTATGTAGCTTTGCTTTTTACTTGACTTTTTTTTTCAAAAGGTGAACTCCAGACTCGAAGTAGAGGACAGATAGAGTTAATATTATCTGATTTGAAATTTGATGATTGCATTTCATACCAGGCCACTTATCAAAACTGGATAAACAGTTCACGGAGACTGGCAGTTTGAAAATCAGCAAATTAAGCCCTCTGGTCAAGTTTTGCAAAATAAAGTAAATAGTAAATAAGTGATTAAAAAAGGAGGTAATAAATGTAAAGGTACTTATTTAGATCTCTTCTTTTTTTTTTACTCAATTTGAACACCAGGCGGTCTCAATTTTTTAACCTAACATGATCGATGATAGATGGATTGGGCTCTAGTAAGTTGGAAAAACTACGCTTTGACACCCCAGGAATCAAACCAGAGACCAAGAGATGACCCGCTCTACCTCCTGAGCCACTGCTGCCACATGCACTTTAGTCGTTTCTGGTTTCAGTTAAGATATTTATGTCTTAGATCTAACCTAATAGCGTATCATGAAAACAATTTTAATCACCTTCAGCGACCCAAAATTTCACAAAGAGCAGAGAAATGCTTACAGCCTCTGCTCACCTGCTGGGTGCTCAGAAAGTGTAGAAAAGCACTATATAGCAACCGTTTATCGTTTACAGTGAGTGTGAGCTTTTATATGACTGATAGAAAACTCGCTTGGCAGACTGAGAGAAAGAAAAAACAAGATGCTATACGAGCAAAAGGTGACGGCTGCGAAAACATATCGGACCAGCTAGTCCAGGATTTTTATTTTTCTGTCCATAGCTGTATTTATTCCACCATATGCAATTTTTACCCATGAATGGAAGCATGCCTTTTTCTTTCTTGTTTGCACATCTCACAGTCT